CAGTGTTCGCTGAAGCAGCCAATGTAAACTCTCAGTAGTGATCAGTAAGTAACCCAAAACTTTATGCCTGATTCTGGAAATTACCAAAGCAATAAATGCTCTACTAGATGTTCACTAACGTTTACAGAGCACTGACTGATGCGCTTTCGTCTAGTTCTTTAAATTCGACAAATCAAAATTACCAGAAAGACAAAGCAAAAAACTGCCAACCCGTATAAATATGATGTAAGTGCAACAAAAAAAAAAAAAAAAAAATGTTTTTAGAGCTTTTTTAAAACGATTATTTTTTGGTTGTTATCAAACGTTTGTTTGGTTTCTGTTACATGTTAATAATAAGGGGAAAAAAAAAACTAAACTATTTGATTCCAAACCAGACCAATCTATTCGAATTTTTGAACAACAAGACCAGCTAAGGCCTTTCGTAACTATCTCGCCGTCGCCCTCCTTCCTCTTCCTTGAAGTTTCTGGAATATTAATGAAGAAAAACGGCAACGGCCGAACTACTCGGGTAATAAAGCCAAAAAATTACTCGCTAAATGACGTCAAGAGGCATAGTTTAAATGTAGCATTGAGTTGTCGTAAATTTTTCTGTTTCTATTTTATTTTAATTTTTTTTTTTTTGTTGTTCTGAAATTAAAGAAATAAATGTGGTTTTATCATCAGAACATTTTAGTTCATTAAAGCGGAAGAGTTGTGGATCAGTTACAGCAAACTGAGGCAGAGCTGTAAAAGGAGAGAAAGAAGAAGAAAAAGAGGAAAAAAAAAAGTGGAAAAAAAAAGAGAAGAGAAAAAAATAAAGATAAAAGACTGTTAATGATTGTAGTGGATAATTAACAAAACCTATGTCTGTATATTTTGAGTTCGTTTGCCTCATATCTCTGTGTCTGTGTCTGTGTCTGCCTGCTTTTTTATCTTACCAAAAAAAAGAAAGAGAATAAAGCAGTATTATCAGCTGCAACCATTCAGCTGAAACTAAAGCAACAATCAACCCACAGAGCTCCATCATTGCAGTTATGTTTTGGTAGGCTGCTTTACTGTTGTTATATATATATATTTTTTCGTATCTGTTCAGCTCTTTCCTCTCAACCGTACACTAAAATATTTATCTTAGCCTACTCGTCTCGCGGTATCATTCCACCAGTATTATTTGACAGTGCAGAACAAGAAAGAGATTGAATGAAAAAAAGATGAAATGTGAACTACGACTGGTAAAAAGTACCTAAAAAAAAAAAGCTGCTTTTTTTAATTAAAAATGTTTATAAATATACTGTCTGTTGCTATATTCAACCAATTTTCCTTTTTCATCATCCTGCAGACATTATATTGCATAATGTCTGGGAGTGAATTTTGTTTATTACAATCCTCTTGGTACCATTTCTTTTATCGACAAATTGCTGCACAACTCAGACAATTAACAGACGAAATGTATTGTATAAAACTTTTGTTGCACAACAGCAGCAATTCTGGTTGCTAAAATAGCAATAATAAAAACATCAAAATGGCTTAGATGAAATGCATAAGGTTAATGTTACAAAAAAAAAAAATGAAGAAGAACTATACACATTTCAGGTGTAGTTTTACTCTTTTTCTGATCCGTACCCCTCTCTCCTTGTCACTTTTTCGTAGCAAAATAAAACTATTTCACTTTTAAGTTCCACTTTTACGCCGCAAAAAAAAAAAGGTAACATACTCTTTTGAAAAAAAATTTTGATGAGGTGGTTGAGACTAACGACAAAAAAGAAGGAGGAGCAGTAAACAGTAGGGGAACAGGAACGAGAGGTGAAAATGTCGGAGACAGAACTGATTGCCGAAGCTATAATTTGATTCAACTGACACGTCACGTTATGTAATATATCATAAGCAAGGAAAAAAAAAAAGGAATAAATACTAGTTACGTTGTTAGCCTATGTATTTAATTTACGCAAAAAAATGAGTTTTTTTATTTTATGCTAACCATTCTTCCAACTATTGCTATGTCATTAACTAAAAGCACGAAAAAAGTACTTTTTTCAATATCGACAGAGTTCTGCACTTAACGCTTTTGTTATCACTTTTCTTTTCAGTGACTTTAGGTAAATTGATTCAGTATCAGTTTTTCTTTGTTTCTTTCACATTCAAACATTCAAATAGCTGTTAACAATACTTGAGCGACAAGTATGCTGAAAAAAAAAACGGGTTGAACAGTCATAACCAGAACAGAATCATGAACAGAATCAACTGTTTAGTAGTCCGCGAAAGCCACAAGATTTCTTTAAGTAAAGAATAAATAAAAATTTCAGTTTAATGCAGTAAATAATTAGATAATAGCTATTAGCACTAAAGAAACAACGACAGTAATCGTTATTATCAAATGTACCGAATAAGTTCCGCGTTCAGAATATTCAAACGAGCAGTATTCAGACTATTTTTTTATGCTCCCAACTTTCAAGCGTTGATTAAAATTGAATTTTCTTTAATGCTCAAATCAACTTTTAACACTGCTGAATGCGGTAGTTTAAATCCGATTCATTTTTCATCTGTAACATAATAAACAATGAATAGAAATGAAACATATCCACAAGAACTGACAGAGTGTCAACGATCAAAGAATGCCGGATAATAGCAGAACTGAAATTGTTCTGTCTTTTTTTTTTTTTTGTTTTTGTTGGAGAACCATGAGTCTCCTAAACCGTCTAAATGTTAACGAAAATTTGAAGCTTTCAAGCAACAAAGGTAAGCAACACAGGCAACGTTAAAATATATCTTTCTAATCAAGAAACAAGGACAGAAAGAGGACGAGAGCAAGATATTTTGAGGGGTAGAGTGAGAAGGTCAATTTTGTATAAGGAACGTAGCAGCAGCAGTAGCAGCAAGCAAAAGTAAAGAACAGCAAGGAGAATGGAAACTGCTGTTTGCGTGCTGATATTGTGCCTTTCCCGTTACAGCTTCTCTGGTAATTCACTGATTATTACCATCATCCCCAATACAGAGGATACAGTTTCATATTATCAAATGGTAGTGAAATAAGTGAATCAGCCGACTGCAGTCAGCCAATTTGACGATAAGCAATTAGTTTAATGTTCATCGACAACAAGAAAAGATATAGAAGAATAAAGCTGAAGAAGAGGATAAGAAGGAGGAGGAGGAAAACAGAAATAGAAGAGGTCTTCTAGAAAACTCTAGTCAGTTTCACCTTACTGCTCTTTTTTTCCGTTTCTGTTCAATCTTTCTTTACCAATTGTTGTTTTTGAGGATATCCATAAAATGGTGTTATTTTAGCGCTAACTGAATGTGTGACGAAAAAAGAGTTGTTTTGCATTAAAGTGAAAAGCAGTGTAATAAGTTTGCCAGGTAAAAAACAAAAATAGACATTTTTTTTGCTCAAACGTACTTCTGTTTTACTGTTGAAGACGGTAAGAAAAAAGTAAATTTACAACAAGATAAAGTTTTTATTTGGTGTATGTTGTTTGAAAGTAAAATTGGGGAGTGCGGGAAGAAAAAAAACGAAGGTCAAGGGAAGATTCGGATAAAATTTACGCCATAAATATTCCGTTAAAAATTTTAGAAATTTAAATAAAGCTATTTTGTTTGATCACTTTTCCTGTCTTTTTCCTTTTTTTTTTTTTTTT